GTCATAGATACAAGTAAATAACTAATGGATTGATTCATATTTTTTTCTATTTATATTGAATGAAAACCGTGTCAATGTGGAAATAATAAATTGAAAACAAATAATAAAAAGAGTTTTTCTTGTACAATGTATGGGATCATGGTCTGTAGTGTTTAAATTGAGGATAACTACCACTAATAGATTTGTTTTTACCCAATTTCCTATGAGAATTTTGCTAAATTGACTCACATTGAAATTAGTTTTGTCCCACTAACTTTTGCCTTTTTTGTACCGACTTTTTCCTATATTACATTTTGATTAATATTGGAAAATACAAAAAAATGGTTTATATAATTTTATAAAATCAGAAAAATAGAAAAGAGTAATGTACAACACATATAGATTCATATTTATATTTTTTTCAAAAAAAACTATGACAGAAAATTATTTAGTTTTCCTTCTACCATGGTCGAATATACTAGTAGATTAGGTGTTCTGCGAATTTGTATCATTCTACGAGTGGTAGAAGGAAGTATTCTACTAATTGTACAAGTTCTACATATCGCAGATTGCACATATTTCACCATTTTGCTTCAATACTACCAGTTCCAGAATGCTATTTCTACCAATGATTTTGTCTTCTACGACACGCAGAATGCATATTTTACCCCTTCTATCTACCTCTTTCTCTATCTTCTACAAAATGGTAGAAAGTCTATTCTACCAAAAGTAGTTTAAATCCCGTAAATTTAGGACCATTAGTCATTTACTTTCCAAAAAATGTTTTATTCGGTATTTACTTTCTAAAAACGTAGATTTTTTCGTCAGAAACATTTTTGTTTTTTTTTGTCAAATGTTTTTAAAGTGTTTTTGGAAAAAAACACATTTTCATTTTTTTGAATATAATGGAAAACCTATATGAATATAATGTTTTAGTTTGCTTCATTATTTAATTAAACACCCACAGCTCACTTGGTTTGAAAACCCATATACCTAGATCCGAGGTCATGAGTTCGATGTCACATGGTGACATAATTTTGCATTTTTTCAAATCCCACAATTTTTTTGATTAAAAACGGAAAACCTATATGAATATATTGCTTTTGTTTGCTTAATTGTTCGATTAAACACCCATAGCTCACTTAGTTTGAAAACGTACATACCTAAAATCAGAGGTCACGAGTTCGATGATTTATTCCTTAAATCTTTTCTAAATTTAC